AATCATAAAATCAAAAACAATAATGTACATACAGTTGAGTACGGGAATGGAATATTTTACAGTGAGAAAGCTGTCAAATTGGATCCAAGGTTGCACAGCCTTTTTTAAATATTTTAGCCACACATATTATTCTCGAATGGTTCAATAAATAACATAAATTGTAACTGCACACAATATATAGATAACAAATTTCAACAGAATGACAAAAGGTTTTCATTGTAAATGTAATAAGGTGTTGATGTTTTAAATAGTTTTCATTATGCTTTTATTTACCCTGCATAATTTAAATTATCAATTACTTCGATCAATGCCATGTGATTTACATTTGTATTTAATAATATTTGATTTATTTTCTATCTTATTAAAAAATATAAAATGTAAAAAATATATCTTGTCTGAGTGAGTGAGTGAGTGAGTATGGTGTTATGCCGCTTTTAGCAATATTCCAGCAATATCACGGCTGGGGACTCTAGTCTGAGAGCAAGATGAATCGATTCTTGCATTTATTTAAAGGGGTTTTTTTTAATTCTGAATTATATTTGTTCCCTCCATATCATGTAGTTTAGCTTGGCCAAAAGGTGAAAAAGGGAAAGATATTATTACTGAACCGCAATGGGTACAATGTGTGAAAACCATTTCTGGTGTCCCCCGCCGTGATATTGCTGGAATATTGCTAAAAGCGGCGCAAAACCATACTCACTCACTATCATTACAGAAAAACACTTGTTAGCGAATTTGCTAGTTTTATTTTCATAGTTCACTACTAAAAACCTATTACATGTATATACATGTATTCTGCTTTTCCTTTTATCACAAATAACTCCATTAGGTCATTGATCTACGATCATTATCTATTTCAAATACAATTCTAAAGTCTCATTTATAAAAAGAAATATGAACGAAAAAGTGTTATTGGCCATACAAGTAAATTTTGCACAAACGTCTAAGTAGGCAGCCAAGTGAGAAATATAAGATGAGGCGAGAATCTGTTTCCTGGTGGTCTTTGTGAAACACATTTTGTTGGTTTTTTTTAGCACATGAAGAGTATATACATTGAACAATACAATACAATACAATTCAAAACAATGGAATGCAGTACAATACAATACAAATCGAGGTTATTCCTGGTGGAATTCATGTTTTCATAAATTGGATATAAATATCAACAACACATCATAACACACGAAGTATGAATAAGCGGCTTGCATGGTGCGTGAGTGCACTTGAGTTAGGGCAAGTCACCAATTTTGTCGACGTTTGCGTTTGCGAATACGGTCTGCGACTGCGATTTTAAGTATCAAGTGCTATTATGTCATGTTAAACTCACTTACAGCGCCAATCTGGGCCAATCAGTGTTTTGGGGACTGGTTTGCGATTTCTTCTCCGTTGCGATATATCAATCAGGGGGCTTTTAAATCGCATCGCACCATCTAAATATAAATCTTGATTCTTAAGACACGTGACTACGGTCATGTGACTTGGATATTCCTTGCAGCTCTAAAACCACATGTAAAAGGCCATACTTTAAAATGGCATTAAAATGAAAAGTCGTGAGGGTATTGCAGCAGCTGTCGACATGGAATCTTTCTTGCAGATTCATCATGATGATAGAGATTTGGATGTTGTTGCCTTTGTCAAACTGTTAGCAACAATGACAGTGGAGCTATCTTATTTTCTTCTACCTATTCTTTTAGCACCGTCAGTATATTCGGCGACTACATTTTGAATTTAGCCAAAATACGTAAACATGAGTTTTCCACGATCGCAGACACAAACGCAAACGGAGACAGTGATCGAAAGTAGGTTTGTTGAAAACATTTGCTGCGTATGAAAACCTTTTAATCAACGATATAATTTATGTTTACTTACTCCTGTGTGATCGTACAATAGAATAAACATTTTCATTGTTAGTAAAGAATAAATAATGTTCGATATTTGGTTATCGATTTGAGTCTTGTTTGGGTTATAAAGCCCAATTTACTTTTCGTCCCTTGAAAATGTTGGATGCCAATTTCCTCGAGTTGTGGTTATCACAAATGAAAGAGCACCGACACTGAAACTGATTGAAGGTAATCTTTGAAACACTTAGCGTATGAAATAATCACGACCACTTCCGTCAATTTCTTTTACGTCAAAACACTAAAATTCATCGGGACTTTTTATCGGTAAACTAACCTCGTGGACAAACCCCAGTGTATACATTATGACATAATGTCAAATGCCTATTATCGATATGATATGTATTTTCAATGATATGAATTATTTGACAATTAGACGTCAAACTAGGGCGCTTGATTGACTCCAGTTGTCAGATTAAGGCATTTCCATATTACGACTAATGTAGAAAAGTAGCAAGCCTAGAATACCATTACTTTCACCGTTGGATAGTTCCGTGAAATTGCTGACTTTAGATACTGTTGGAAAGAGAATCAACTAGAGATGTACAATGTGTGAAATAAGAAGGGCGTGACGCTTTTGATACAATGAGTACGTTTTTGAAGCCACGACGTCATCACAATACGGCGCTGAGCGGTATACAAAGCCAGTTGACGGCCCAGCTCACCGAGTGAGTGAGTGTGTGAGTTAAGATTTAACGTCACATCGGCAGTATTTCAGCCATATCGTGACGATAAGTACATTAATAATACATAGATTTAGACTAAATAAAAAGCTGTCAACGAAAGACAATACAATAACTAGAATATCACATATTCGATTTAAAACTCGTTGCGAATATGTAAGTATCACTGAACACCACAATATAAAAATGGGCTAAGGATCGTCAGTAACTAAAGTGAGATCCCAGCTGAATGAGGGTTAAAGTGACGTGTCACAATAGGGCACCGAGCGGTATACAAAGCCAGCGGACGGCCCAGCTGAATGAGGGTTAAAGTGATGTGTCACAATACGGCACCGAGCGGTATACAAAGCCAGCGGACGGCCCAGCTGAATGAGGGTGAAAGTGATGTGTCACAATACGGTACCGAGCGGCATACAAAGCCAGCGGACGGCCCAGCTCAATGAGGGTTAAAGTGATGTGTCACAATACGGCACTGAGCGGTTTACAAAGCCAGCTGACGGCCCAGCTAAATGAGGGTGAAAGTGATGTGTCACAATAGGGCACCGAGCGGTATACAAAGCCAGCGGACGGCCCAGCTAAATGAGGGTGAAAGTGACGTGTCACAATAGGGCACCGAGCGGTAAACAAAGCCAGCGGACGGCCCAGCTCAATGAGGGTTAAAGTGATGTGTCACAATACGGCACCGAGCGGTATACAAAGCCAGCGGACGGCCCAGCTAAATGAGGGTGAAAGTGATGTGTCACAATACGGCACCGAGCGGTATACAAAGCCAGCGGACGGCCCAGCTCAATAAGGGTTAAAGTGACGTGTAACAATACGGCACTGAGAGGTATACAAAGCCAGCGGACGGCCCAACTCTATGAGGGTGAAAGTGATGTGTCACAACACGGCACAAAGCGGTATACAAAGCCAGCGGACGGCCCAGCTAAATGAGGGTGAAAGTGACGTGTCACAATACGGCACCGAGCGGTATACAAAGCCAGCGGACGGCCTAGCTCAATGAGGGTTAAAGTGACTTGTCACAATACGGCACTGAGCGGTATACAAAGCCAGCGGACGGCCCAGCTAAATGAGGGTGGAAGTGATGTGTCACAATACGGCACCGAGCGGTATACAAAGCCAGCGGACGGCCAAGCTAAATGAGGGTTAAAATGATGTGTCACCTGCCGTATTTTGTACATTTCCATCGGCTCCTGCCATAACTGACACATGAAGCCATTCTATCGATCCACTCGCTGATACTCTATCGACTCCTGTGACGTCTGTGTTATTATTTCCATTTATATGAACTCCGGTAACATATCAAAACATCATTTCCATTCGCTTTTCGATGCTCATGAAGAGGTACGTAACCAGTGCACAACCTTTTGACACCCACGCATAATGTTCCAAGAAGCAGTGTGGCCCCATTGTTATTCTGTACATTCACAATAGCTCCAGCCCTCAGTAACATATCAACACACTTTTGAGAACCACTCTTTAATGCAGAGTGGTGTGTCGCTTGTGTTGCGTAAGTTAACAACAGCTCTGATATTCAATAACATAATAAATCTCTTTCGATCTACGCATTACTGCTCCATGGAGAAGTGTGGCTCCCTTGTCATTCTGTACATACACATCAGCTCCAACCGTCAGTAACAGGTCAACACACTCTTTCCATCGTGACATTGATGCGCCATGAAGTGGTGTGTTGCCTGTGTTATTCCGTACATTCACACCAGCTCCAGGATCCAGTAATATATGAACACACTCTTTCGATCCATGCATTGATTCACCATGTACTGGTGTGTCGCCCGCACTGTCTCTTCGTGTACATGAGCTTAAAGCTTCAATAACACATCAACAAACAATTACCACCCATGCATTGATATTCCATGTAGTGATGTGTCTTCCGTACTATTCTCTACATTTACATAAGTTCCAGCCATCAGTAAAACATCAACATACTATTTCGACCCATGCATTATAACTCCATGTAGTGGTGTGTCGTCCGTACTGTCTTTATGTTTACATCAGCTCCAACCTTCAATTATAACAGATTAACACACTCTTTCGTAGACGCATTGATCCTCCATAAGTGGTGTGTCGCCTGTGTTATTCTCTACATTCACTGCAGCACCAGCCTTCAGTAACAGTTCAACACACTCTTTCGATCCATGGATTGATGCTGCATGAAGTGGTGTGTCGCCTGAGTTGTTTTGTACTTTTATATCAGCGCCAGCCTTCAGTAACATATCAACACACTTTTGAGATCCACGCCTTGATGCTCTATGAAGTGAAGTGTCGCCTGTTTTATTCTCAACATTCACATCAGCTGCAACCTTCAGTAAAATATCAACCCACGTTTGAGATCTACACCCTGATGCCTGTCTCGTTTTGTGCTATGAGTTATGAAGTGGTGTGTCGCCCGATCTATTCGGTACCTGTATATCAGCCCAAGCCTTCAGTAACAGGTCAACACAGTCTTTCGATCCATGGATTGATGCTGCATGGAGTGCCGTGTAGCCTGAACAACACACTTTTGAGATCCACACCTGGATGCTTCATGAAGTGGAGTGTCGCCTGTCTCGTTTCGTACTTTAACATCAGCTCCAGCCTTCAGTAACATATCAACACACTTTTGAGATCCAAACATTGATGCGATATGAAGTGGTGTGTCGCCTGCTCTATTCTGTACCTGTATGTCAGCCACAGCCTCCAGCAACAGGTTAACACAGTCTTTAGATCCATACATTGATGCTGCATTGAGTGCTGTGTAGCCTGAGTTGTTTTGTACTTTTACATCAGCCCCAGCCTTCAGTAACAGGTAAACACACTTTTTCGATCCATGGATTGATGCTGCATGGAGTGCTGTGTAGCCTGAGTTGTTTTGTACTTTTACATCAGCCCCAGCCTTCAGTAACAGATCAACACACTTTTGAAATCCACACCTGGATGCTTCATGAAGTGGAGTGTCGCCTGTCTCGTTTTGTACTTTTACATCAGCCCCAGCCTTCAGTAACAGATCAACACATTGTCAGATCCACATCTCGATGCTTCATGAAGTGGAGTGTCGCCTGTCTCGTTTTGTACTTGTACATCAGCCCCAGCCTTCAGTAACAGATCAACACACTTTTGAGATCAACACCTGGATGCTTCAGGAAGTGGAGTGTCGCCCGTCTCCTTTTGTACTTTTACATCAGCTCCAGCCTTCAGTAACAGATCAACAAACTTTTGAGATCGATACCTCAATACTTTATGAAGTGGTGTGTCGCCTGTTCTATTCTGTACCTGTATATCAGCCCCTGCCTTCAGTAACAGGTCAACACACTCTTTCGATCCATACATTAATGTTCTACAGAGTGGCGCGAGTCCTATCTGATCCCCGACATTCAGGCCAGCCTTCTGTAACAGGTAAATACGCTCTTCCAATCCGAGCCCTAATACGTTATGAAGTGGAGTGTCGCCTGCCTCGTTTTGTACTTTAACATCAGCTCCAGCCTTCAGTAACATATCAACACACTTTTCAGATCTGCACATTGATGCGTTATGAAGTGGTGTTTCGCCTGTCTTGTTTTGTACTTTTACATCAGCTCCAGCCTTCAGTAACAGGTCAACACACTTATGAGATCCACATCTGGATGCTTCATGAAGTGGAGAGTAGCCTGTCTTGTTTTGTACTTTTACATCAGCCCCAGCCTTCAGTAACATATCAACACATTTTTGAGATCCACATCTGGATGCATCATGAAGTGGAGTGTCGCCTCTCTCGTTTTGTACTTTCACATCAGCCCCAGCCTCCAGTAACAGATCAACACACTTTTGAGATCCGCACATTGATGCTGCATGGAGTGCTGTGTAGCCTGATTTGTTTTGTACTTTTACATCAGCCCCAGCCTTTAGTAACAGATCAACACACTTTTGAGATCCGCACATTGATGCTGCATGGAGTGCTGTGTAGCCTGATTTGTTTTGTACTTTTACATCAGCCCCAGCCTTCAGTAACAGATCGACACACTTTTGAGATCCACACCTGGATGCTTCATGAAGTGGAGTGTAGCTTGTCTCGTTTTGTACTTTTACATCAGCCCCAGCATTCAGTAACAGGTCAACACACTTTTCAGATCCACACCTGGATGCTTTATGAAGTGGAGTGTCGCCTGTCTCGTTTTGTACTTTTACATCAGCCCCAGCCTTCAGTAACAGATCAACACACCTTTCAGATCCACACCTGGATGCTTCATGAAGTGAAGTGTCGCCTGTCTCGTTTTGTACTTTTACATCAGCCCCAACCTTCAGTAACAGGTCAACACACTTTTGAGATCCAAATATTGATGCTGCATGGAGTGCTGTGCAGCCTGATTTGGTTTGTACTTTTACATCAGCCCCAGCCTCCAGTTACAGATCAACACACTTTTCAGATCCACACCTGGATGCTTCATGAAGTGGAGTGTCGCTTGTCTCGTTTTGTACTTTTACATCAGCCCCAGCCTTCAGTAACAGGTCAACACACTTTTCAGATCCGCACATTGATGTTGCATGGAGTGCTGAGCAGCCTGATTTGTTTTGTACTTTTACATCAGCCCAAGCCTTCAGTATCAGATCAACACACTTTTCAGATCCACACCTGGATGCTTCAAGAAGTGGAGTGTCGCCTGTCTCGTTTTGTACTTTTACATCAGCCCCAGCCTTCAGTAACAGATCAACACACTTTTCAGATCCACACCTGGATGCTTCATGAAGTGGAGTGTCGCCTGTCTCGTTTTGTACTTTTACATCAGCTCCAGCCTGCAGTAACAGATCAACACACCTTTGACATCCATACCTCAATACTTTATGAAGTGGTGTGTCGCCTGTTCTATTCTGTACCTGTATATCAGCCCCAGCCTTCAGTAACAGGTCAACACACTCTTTCGATCCATACATTGATACTCTATGGAGTGTCACGAGTCCTCTCTGATCCCCGACATTCAAGCCAGCCTTCCGAAACAGGTAAAAACGCTCTTCAGATCCGAGCCCTGATACGTTATGAAGTGGAGTATCGCCTGTCTCGTTTTGTACTTTAACATCAGCTCCAGCCTTCAGTAACATATCAACACAATTTTGAGATCTGCACATTGATGCGACATGAAGTGGTGTGTCGCCTGTTCTATTCTGTACCTGTATATCAGCCCCAGCCTTCAGTAACAGGTCAACACAGTCTTTAGATCCATACATTGATGCTGCATGGAGTGCTGTGTAGCCTGAGTTGTTTTGTACTCTAACATCAGCCCCAGCCTTCAGTAACAGGTAAACACTCTTTTGAGATCCGCACATTGATGCTGCATGGAGTGCTGTGCAGCCTGAGTCGTTTTGTACTTTTACATCAGCCCCAGCCTTCAGTAACAGATCAACACACTTTTGAGATCCAAACATTGATGCGTTATGAAGTGGTGTGTCGCCTGTCTCGTTTTGTACTTTTACATCAGCTCCAGCCTTCAGTAACAGGTCAACACACTTTTCAGATCCATACCTGGATGCGTTATGAAGTGGTGTGTCGCCTGTCTCGTTTTTTACTTTTACATCAGCTCCAGCCTTCAGTAACAGGTCAACACACTTCTGAGATCCATACCTCAATGCGGTATGAAGTGGAGTGTCGCCTGTCTCGTTTTGTACTTTTACATCAGCTCCAGCCTTCAATAACATATCAACACACTTTTGAGATCCAAACATTGATGCGATATGAAGTGGTGTGAAGCCTCGTCTATTCTGTGCCTGTACATCAGCCCCAGCCTTCAGTAACAGGTCAACACACTCGTTCGATGCATGGATTGATGCTCTATGGAGTGCTGTGTAGCTTGAGTTGTTTTGTACTTTTACATCAGCCCCAGCCTTCAGTAACAGATCAACACACTTTTCAGATCCACACCTTGATGCATCATGAAGTGGAGTGTCGGCTGTCTCGTTTTGTACTTTCACATCAGCTCCAGCCTTCAGTAACATATCAACACACTCTTTCGATCCATGGATTGATGCTACATGGAGTGCTGTGTTTCCTGTGTTATCCTCTATATTTACTCTAGCTGCAGCTGCCGGGTTGTCTCTTGACTTGATATTTGAATTATTGTCAGCTTTCTGCTTTCTGAAACCTTCAGCCGATTCACCAACTTCTCTTTCGTCTTCTTCGTGAGACGTATAAAGCTTTTCAAGTAAAAATAGAACAACCTCTTGGCTTCCTCCCTTACACGCTGAGTGCAGTGTAGTATTTCCATTTGGAGCCACCATGCTGACATTTGCTCCTTTCCCCGTCACAACTCTCACGACATCCATCTTTCCACTTTCGCATGCTGCATGAAGAGGGAGTTGTCCATCCTTCGATATCATATTGACTGAGGCTCCTTTATCAAACAGCATCTCAACAACATCCAGATTCCCACTTTTACATGCAGCACACACTTCATCGCCACTAAGTTCTGCTCCTGCCACAAGTAAAGTCTTAACAATGTTTGCATGTCCATGTGTACATGCTTGATACAGAGGCTTAAAATGGATATCCCGACCAGCAATATTTGCTCCTCCCTCCAACAAAGCTTTTACTATTCCCTCAATGCCGCAAGCACATGCCCAACCCAGAGACCTATCCTTCAATTCACAATTAACATCAGTTCTATCCAGCACCAGTTTTACAACTTCTTCCTTGCCATTGAGACAAGCCGCAAGTAGAGGAGACTTATGATAGTTATCCACATAACCTACTGCTCCTCTATCGAGTAACAGTTTCACTAGGCCCTTGTGACCAGACAAACACGCTAGAAAAAGTGAAGATTGACCCATCTGATCTGGTACATCAATATCTACACCCTTGTCAATGACATACTCCACAGCTGACACAAGACCATGTTCACACAGGTAATGCAGCACAGTTCTGTCATAGCTGTCAGATGCATTCAGATCAGGAAGAAGGCGAAGTATCTGGTGTACAAAGTTACAATCTCCAGTCTCAGTTGCTATCATCAGCGGGGTCTGCTCACGGTGTCTGTATGTAGCATTGATGTCCAGTTTTAAATGTTTTGTCAGATATGTCAGCACATCACCTGCAGCATGTTTGTACACACCAAATAAGATCTCATCTATCTCCGTCTGATGCAGTGTAATGTTTCCCTTCTCCAGTATGTATTTCACCATGGTTGAACATTTGTTGCTTGGCAGCAACTCCAAACAGGATTCTAGTGTTTCTTCATCAGTCTTCCTCAGAAATGTATTTACAGATATTTGATATTGTTCTTTCAGTATGTTCATCAGTTTATCAATGAAGTCTGGATCACAACAGATTTGATGTGAGATTACATATGCCAGGTTGCCCCGCTGAATCGCCAAGGCAAATCTCTGCACCAAGTTGTCAATGCAGAAAGGTGGGATTTCTGCAACCAAACCTTGGGTTTCAACAGTCCCATGTCTAAGTCGCTGGTTGATGAATGAGAGACTAGAATTCTCAATGACAAATACTGGATCTTTTTCAGTCAGAAGAAATGCAACACTGTCATAGATTGATGGATGGTCAAACATGTATGTACCATCTTCCAGCTTCAGATATGACCCAACAAGCTCATTGGCAGATGATACACAGTCATGCATCTTGTATTTGTCTTTATACAATTCAGACTGAGACACTTTCCCATCTCCTTGGATCATTGCCTTCAGGAGTTGACACTTTGATTTATTGTTTATTAATTTCTGCAACGTTTGGTTTAGAAATTCAAGAGGACTCACGAAAAACTCCTTTGCTGATACCTTGTCATTCTGTTTAAAGGCTGTGGCAAATAGCCTACAGACATGTGGAAACCCATGTGGACACGCGATGTGACTTAATTTAAAAATGACTTTTTTCTCAATGTCAACACCTTCCATTTGAAAAATTGATTTCAAAATATTCAGTTTTTCTATATGATCTGTGGTTGGTGAGAGTTCGACTAGATGTTTACTGCTTGTAACATATTCCCTCGCTCTTCCAAGGTCTGGTAAAGAGGATTTTAGTACATAATCACGTCCCACAAGAATAAATAAAGATTGTTTCTTTCGATTTTGCTCTGGATTGATGTCAGTTGAACCATTTAAAGTTAGCTCCAAGTCAGGATTTTGCAAATCAAGAATGGGACGAAGAGAGGGTCTCCACTTGGTCCACTCTGCAACGTCAAATTCCAGATCACCAAATATATCATCCATCATAATCACTGGGTTGGTACAAGTCCTGGTTACCTCATTGAACTCTTCTGGAGACACAACTTGGTATACTTGTCTCCCTTGGCTGTGCAGATCTCTGAGGGCCATGTAGGCCACTGTAGACTTCCCCTCTCCTGGTCTTCCCTTTATTGTCACCCATGTTGCTCCTCTGTCAATCTTCTCCATCACCTCCTTATGTGCCTGTGTCTTAACCATACCTTGGGTCCATGACTGTATCCTTGATTCTGTTCGTTCTGAAAAAATATAATACAATCGATTGAACTGTACAAATCCGATCCACCTTTCACACATACTGACCTAGTGGTATTTTTACAAACAACCTCTCCTTATTGTGTAAATACATTTCACATTTGCTCCACTTGATAATAAATTATTAATACTAAGAACTGATCACTGTGATATATATCAGTAAATGAGCTGAGAAACTGTGTTAACAAATCTGAGAGTTATTATTTTTTGCTACTCAAAAGTAAATTTGTAAAACAACAAAAAAGAAAGAAACAAGAACATTTTCTTCAGACAAAACTTGTTAACAAATTAAGCATGCCATTAATGGTCATATTGTTTTACATTGACATCCGTTATCTACTTTTCCTATCATTTTCATGTTAACTTCTACGTTCGAGAAATTAATGGCTCAGTGAGTTAGTGAGTTGGGTTCAACGCCACTTTTAACAGTATTCCAGTTACATCACGGCGTGTCAGCTTAATGTGGTTAGGAAAGCTCGAAGTGATGCAGGTCTCAGACGTTTAGCACATCGGTGAAACCCACGAGCACGGGTATGGTGCTGACAAACCTAGAAACATAATCGGGACGAACCGGGATTCGAACCCACAATCAAAGGTTTCTGGCGTGCCTAAGGGACGTAACTCTGCACAGAAAATCGCGGCGCCTCAGACGACTGTAATGGCTCAGAATTGTCGAAATAGTACGTGATGAAGAAATGGAACACGTTTCAAGAAAATTAAAAATAACATTTACTATATAGTGCACATATATTATAGTGCAGAAGATACACGTAGCGTAAGTCTCTTGTCCCTGTTTCTGCATATACCTCTTGCATCTCTGTATTGACCCTTTCATCATGCTCACGGTCTAATATTTGACGACTATTTTATCCAAAAAAATATAACTCTAAATTACTACAATGATGCTTGTACATGAAGAATCATCTATCTTGCTTTATCCACTGGAACTCACTCCTGATCTTCTGTACTGTAGTCAGCGGTTTCTCCTCCTCCTCCTCCTCCTGGGGACAGGGCTGCGATTTACCGATGTTTTGAGTCCCTCCGATGGTCAGATTCCTGCCGCCCTTCACCGTCATTTCTCCAATGTGCTGTTGGACTTGGAGAACGTTATACTGAATTGCTGTAAAGTACATAATTATTTAGTAACCTGACACTTGTGAAACGGCAATTTCAAGGAACAAGGCCACAACCATTCAGATATCAGAAGTTCTAATTATATAACTTGAGTGTTTAAAACAATTTAATTGCCAACATGTTATATTACTCATATATGGAGGGAGAAACGAAACACAAATGAAGCCTTATTGTAATTAATTATTTATCAGGTTTATGATTATAATGTAAAACGTATTCATTGATGAAAACGAATTATGAACAAGCGTCTGAATGTGTTCATGTATGATGACAAGTTGACGGCTTGCCATATGTTGATCTGTCAAATTGTGGTATGTAAATAGCTCAACTTACTTTGTTTACAACATAGACAAAATTACGTACTTAGCATATCAGTTACTTGATTGTTGTACAAGCATGTTACAATTTACCTTCAATATTACGGTTGTTACGGGAAAATGTTTTTTCTATCATTTGAAAATACTGCCTCCGTGGTTGTTCGATCCCGGCGCCAACGTAAGAATATGTTACTTGTTGTTTCCCTGCCTGGTGCGTTATCATTAAGACATAAAACATCGATTTTGTGAGTATCTGAGTGGGTTATCCATGTTAAACTGCTGGGTGATATCTCAATGGGTTCGCAATATAAATCCGGCATCAGCCGGACTAGTACAAACAGCCTCAAACATGCATCAAAGTCCCTATATATATATGCAATTACTTTGAACGCAACATCATACCCCATTCATTTCATGATGATGTTAGGCCATGTAATATTCAGGAGTAGGATATGTGTGTTGGGGCGTGGGGGTACATATTTCTGTTAACTGAACGATATATACTTTTTTAAAAGTAAATCCTTAGGTCAAATAATTTTGCAGCATTTTCGGGAAAAGATTATATTTTTTCGAGAATATGAATTACCCTAAAATATACACAAGGGGCATTGAATGCTAGATGAATAAATGTTTTCCTCATTTTATGTTAACCTAAATGTTCTTGATTACATACGCTCAGAGGTTTTGTTTGCGTCTTTAAGTGAAGATACTTTATCTTCATCAATGTCAGCATCTAGTGTGACTAAGTCAAGAAGGCAAATCTTCTTACTTGAAGCAGCACCAGATGATGGTGCTGTCTCAGGCACCCAGTTTGTGTCCATCTCCTGTGTATTTGATTGTGAAGGCATCAATGCCATGCTGGAATCCTGGCAGGTAGATGAGCCTTGTGTGGCAATATGATGCGTCAGCGTTTTTAATGCTGTGGGAAAACAAGGCATACTTATTGTGAAGTATTCTTAAAAGAGAACCGCCTCCGTGGTCTAGTGGTAGAGCGCCCGCCCGGAGAGCGGAAGGTCCGGGGTTCGATGCCCGGCGGTATTCATGTTAAATTGCGGCAGTGAGCATCAGTCTAGACTAGTACAAGCAGCCACACAAACACACACACGTACATGCACGTCGCTGTATAAGTGCAATAATCTTGGACCCGACATTAAACCCCATTTCACCTCACCTCGCCTGTTAGAAGTGAGCATTCGTTGAAAGCTTCGAAACTGTCATGAGGATCTGATTTGATGAACTGTCTTGGCGCCCACATGGTTAATAAGAACAATGTTTAGAGGGGTATTATTAAACGTGACACGTCAGTCAAGACAATAATACTTGACTTTGGACTGAATACCACAAAGCATTCTATGTAGCTACATGCCAAGTACATAAGAAGAAAACCGCTTTACAAAAGTGCCGGAATCTTCTGGAAAATATATCTACATCACGGTTCCCATTCCTTACCATCATGGATACTGTGAGAGTTCTGACGCTGGCCAGTCTCAAGCACGACTTTTGAAAAAGTTGCTGCCCCCAATGTAACATTTCCGCCTTCCTCATCATTTTCATCTGTTTCTCCTTCTTCTTCCTCCAGATTGTCCGCTATTTGAACGTCTTCTGTCACAACACCATCAACATCGTGTTGTTTTCCCTTGACTACTGTGTTATTCATCCTTACTCACTGCACTTTGTAATCGTTTTCCTTTGACCGGAATATTTCTATTTCTGGTGCTTGTTGTTTCCTTCAGTACCACCAGAGTGAATAAATACATTCATATCAAGACCTATCTCATTATTGAACCGTGAATTCTCGGACACCTGCACGAATAATAAAAAAAACACAATTTAGTTTGTAAAGAGACCTCTGCAGAAACAGTCTGAAGAAGTGTGATGGGTCTTGGTTCCATTCCCCTTTGGTAAAAAAGAATTCAACTGCTGTACACATATCCAAACATATTTAACATTTAAGACATGAATATATACGGTTTTCAAAGTAGCAACATCAACCTTTTTAGTAAATGCAATCAGACCACCAGAGATAGTCCAGGGTGTAGTGGGGGCTGTTTCCAATGTGTCGGGGAGAGTGAAGAGGGTGCATTGGAGGTAATGTGTATTGGAGAGAACATCCAGTGTGAAGAGAGCGTCCAAGGTGTAGTGGGGGCTGTTTTCAGTGTGTATTGGAGAGAGCGTCCAATGTGTAGTTGGGGCTCTTTTCAGTGTTGGGGTGTATTGGAGGCAGTGTTCAGTGTGTATTGGAGAGAACTCCAGTGTGAAGAGAGCGTCCAAGGTATAGTGGGGGCTGTTTTCAGTGTGTATTGGAGAGAGCGTCCATGGTGTAGTGGAGGCAGTGTTCAGGGTGCATTGGAGAGAACTCCAGTGTGAAGAGAGCGTCCAATGTATAGTGGGGGCTGTTTTCAGGGTGTAGGTGAGAGAATGACCAGGGTGTAGTGGAGCCAGTGTTCAGGGTGTAGGTGAGAGAGTGACCAGGGTGTAGTGGAGGCTGTGTTCAGGGTGTAGGTGAGAGAGTGACCAGGCTGTAGTTGAGGCAGTATTCAGGGTGTAGGTGAGAGAATGACCAGGGTGTAGTGGAGGCAGTGTTCAGGGTATAGGTGAGGGAGTGACCAGGGTGTAGTGGAGGCAGTGTTCAGGGTGTAGGTGAGAGAGTGACCAGGGTGTAGTGGAGGCAGTGTTCAGGGTGTAGGTGAGAGAGTGACCAGGGTGTAGTGGAGGCAGTGTTCGGAATGTAGGTGAGAGAGTGACCAGGGTGTAGTGAAGGCAGTATTCAGGGTTTAGGTGAGAGAATGACCAGGGTGTAGTGGAGGCAGTGTTCAGGGTGTAGGTGAGAGAGTGACCAGGGTGTAGTGGAGGCAGTGTTCGGAATGTAGGTGAGAGAGTGACCAGGGTGTAGTGGAGGCAGTGTTCAGGGTGTAGGTGAGAGAATGACCAGGGTGTAGTGGAGGCAGTGTTCAGGGTGTAGGTGAGAGAGTGACCAGGGTGTAGTGGAGGCAGTTTTAAGGGTGTAGGTGAGAGAATGACCAGGGTGTAGTGGAGGCAGTGTTCGGAATGTAGGTGAGAGAGTGACCAGGGTGTAGTGGAGGCAGTGTTCAGGGTGTAGGTGAGAGAGTGACCAGGGTGTAGTGGAGGCAGTGTTCGGAATGTAGGTGAGAGAGTGACCAGGGTGTAGTGGAGGCAGTATTCAGGGTTTAGGTGAGAGAATGACCAGGGTGTAGTGGAGGCAGTGTTCAGGGTGTAGGTGAGAGAGTGACCAGGGTGTAATGGAGGCAGTGTTCGGAATGTAGGTGAGAGAGTGACCAGGGTGTAGTGGAGGCAGTGTTCAGGGTGTAGGTGAGAGAGTGACCAGGGTGTAGTGGAGGCAGTGTTCAGGGTGTAGGTGAGAGAGTGACCAGGGTGTAGTGGAGGCAGTGTTCGGAATGTAGGTGAGAGAGTGACCAGGGTGTAGTGGAGGCAGTGTTCAGGGTGTAGGTGAGAGAATGACCAGGGTGTAGTGGAGGCAGTGTTCGGAATGTAGGTGAGAGAGTGACCAGGGTGTAGTGGAGGCAGTGTTCAGGGTGTAGGTGAGAGAGTGACCAGGGTGTAGTGGAGGCAGTGTTCAGGGTGTAGGTGAGAGAGTGACCAGGGTGTAGTGGAGGCAGTGTTCAGGGTGTAGGTGAGAGAGTGACCAGGGTGTAGTGGAGGCAGTGTTCAGGGTGTAGGTGAGAGAGTGACCAGGGTGTAGTGGAGGCAGTGTTCGGAATGTAGGTGAGAGAGTGACCAGGGTGTAGTGGAGGCTGTGTTCAGGGTGTAGGTGAGAGAATGACCAGGGTGTAGTGGAGGCAGTGTTCAGGGTGTAGATGAGAGAGTGACCAGGGTGTAGTGGAGGCAGTGTTCAGGGTGTAGGTGAGAGAGTGACCAGGGTGTAGTTGAGGCAGTGTTCAGGGTGTAGGTGAGAGAGTGACCAGGGTGTAGTGGAGGCAGTGTTCAGGATGTAGTGGAGGCAGTGTTCAGGGTGTAGTGGAGGCAGTGTTCAGGGTGTAGGTGGGAGAGTGACCAGGGTGTAGTGGAGGCAGTGTTCAGGGTGTAGTGGAGGCAGTGCCTTTACTCTGGGAACACAACCGTTATACATAAATACCCAGGTTTGAAAAGTGATTGTAATTACACATTTGAACCTGCGTATCTCATAAGCAATATAATCAACTTAAACCTAGTTTCGGTTTCGCCAGGGCTCCATTTTCGTGTAATAAACATCATTCAGCATGGTATAGCATATTATACACAAGCACATCTATACATATACCGCGTTCTCAAATTAATTAGAATTGCTAGCTACTTTAGATTTACATACTGTCAATGAAGTCACTGATACATTGCCTCGGAACAGGCCAACTGTAGGGGTGTGTGCAAACCCATCTTATCTGTGACTATAAGGGAACAGGGCTCCTCGCAGGGAAGATATGTCTATGCTGTGTATGTGAGTTTTATAATGCGCTACAATGCAATGTGGATTTCGTGTTGATTCATATAACAACAGCTCGGTAACATATAACTACCGCTTGGAGTAATGATCTGAAAGGTTACTTGCCTTGACTGCGAAGACAGTCTGTAAGGATTAAATTTCTTCGAATAATTATCATATACACAGGTGGGGATGGGGGATTTGGGGTGGGGGGTGGATGCGGGAGGGGGGGGGGGGGGGGGGGAGGGTAGTCCTCCGAGTCATTTTCGGAGGCAGTATTCAGGATGTTGGGGAGTGAAGGGTGTAGTGAAGGTTGTGTTCAGGGTGTAGACTGGTGCGTCCAGGGTGTAGTGGAGGCAGTGTTCAGGGTGCAGGGAAGAGAGAGTCCAGGGTATAGTGGAGGCAGTACTCAGTGTGCAGGGTAGAGAGAGTCCAGGGTGTAGTGGAGGCAGTTTTAAGTGTGCAGGGGAGAGAGAGTCTATGGAAAAGTGGCGGCAGTATGCAGGGTGTAAGGGAGAGATTAACCAGGGTATAGTCGAGGCAGTATTCAGGGTGTAGAGGAGAGTGCGTTCACGATGTTGTGACGGTTGTTTTCAGGGTGTTGGGGAAAACCTTACTCCGGTTTATCGGATGCAGTATTCAGAGTGTATAGGAGAAATCGTCCAGGGTGTATTGGCCGCTGTTTTCAGGGTGTAGATGAGAGAGTTCAGGATATAGTGGAGGCAGTATTCAGTGTGGGTGTAGGGGAGGGAGCGTCCAGGATGTAGTGACGGATGTGTCCAGGGTGTTGGGGAGAGTGCGTCCAGGATGTAGTGACGGATGTGTTCAGGGTGTTGGGGAGAGTGCGTCCAGGATGTAGTGACGGATGTGTTCAGGGTGTTGGGGAGAGTGCGTCCAGGATGTAGTGACGGATGTGTTCAGGGTGTTGGGGAGAGATTTACCAGGGTGTTGTGAAGGCAGTGTCGGGGTGTAAGAGGGTAAGAGGTATGTTTATGACCCCCATGTCAACATATTGACACTGAAATTTAAAATGAACGAGTTGAAAGTCTACAGCTTGAGTAATAGTGTTATGACATGCATGTATATCTGCATCTGCATGTATAGGGTGTATATGACCATATCTATTTTTCTGGCATACATCTATAGGAGATATCTTTATCAAAATCTCAAGAATGCACGAGGGGTAATCACCACAATATGCATAGTCATGAAGGAAGTATTCTCCGCCGTTATCTTGAGTCATGCCTTGTCCGTCCGTTCACATCGATTCTCGGCTCTCGTCGACGACCTGACCTAGATAAATGTCCTCCATGTTTTAATTTGGGTATTAATCCTCCCGGGTTTGTAGTCCGGACATGACATAGCTATAGGTTGTTCCATATTATTGTAGACATAAATATCCCGATTTGAAAAGTGATAATTTATACATATTTGAACCTGCACGTCTCATAAGCAATGTATTCAACTTGAACCTAGTTTCGGTATCGTCAGGGCTTCATTTTCGTGAAATAAACACTATTCAGCATTATATAGCATACTATAGACAAGTACCTCTATACATTTGCCGTTCTCTAAAATTAATTAGAATTGCTAACTACTTTAGACTTACTTACAGTTAACGAAGTCACTGATACATTGCCTCGGAACAGACCAACTGTAGGAGTGTGGACAAACCCAACTTATCTATGACTATAAGAGAACGGGGCTCCACGCAGGGAAGATATGTCTATGCTGTGCATGTGAGTTTTGTAATGCGTTACAATGCAATGTGGATTTCGTGTTGATTTATATTACCATAGCTCGATAACGCATAACTACCGCTTGGTGTTATGCTCTGAAGAATTACTTGCCTTGACTTGGAAGACAATCTGTAAGGATCGTCGGGGCAACTTTCTTCATATAATTCTCCTATACACACGTGGTCGACCAAAGCGGTGCAGTTGGGGTGGATGGTGGTTGGGTCGGGTGGGGTTGGGATGGGGGGAGGGAGTCCACACGCCATCATATTCGATCTTCTGTTGCTGCAAAATGATTATTTCCTCAAGATTAAACTCTATTGGCGAAGCTTTTGATATATATATCTATATTATCCGGACTTACTTCTATGTTATAATTTGTTGGTTGGTTTGTTGTTTAAAGTCGCAATCAGCATTATTCCAGCTATAAGACGACGGTCTGTGAACCTTGTAATGTGTTTTGTCTAATTACTTAGCTCCAATGTTGAACCTGCACTATCAAAATGTTGGTATTAAGGAATGTTGAAGTTCCACTGTGCAAATGGAAACCAAGGCTGCAGATAAGATGATAGTCTCAAATAAAATGCTCAGGTAAGTATTCAGCAATGATTGTTATCTGTTTGAGACAGTAAAGAACTGGTTGTGGACGACTTTGTACATGGCTTTGCTAGGCCATCTGCTATTTTTGAGCGTGGCTTTATTCCCTGATTCTCGGGGATTAAATGTCAATATCTACATCGACACCAACGTTGTCCTCAACAGAGTTCAGGACAACTTTGTTGGCGTCACCCTCGACTCCGGCATTATTCAAACTGGTTTGGAAAAGAGTGGTCTCAACTTGTCGTGAGTTTTCTTTTTTTCTCAAGTTAGCTGAATATGCGTCCTTAGTGGTCCACTTTCGCCTTGCAGAATTGTGTGTTCAATGTTTTTATTATCATTGATATGGCACAATGAAGGTCACAAAAACACCTGAGCTCATTCTATCATGGGTAGGTGCTTACTCCCTGCATCAAACTGGAGTTTCTCGAAATATTAACCTGAGAAGCTGTTCTACTCGTATCAGCGATAACAGTGGTGTAACACCCATTCACTCACTCACTCACTCACTCACTCACTCACTCACTCACTCAATCACTCAATCACTCAATCACTCACTCACTCAATCACTCAATCACTCACTCACTCACTCACTCACTCACTCACTCACTCACTCACCCACTCACTTAAGCTGATTCTGTGCCAACTGTTTGTGCAATTCAAGGTATGTTAATGACATTTCAACTAAAGTTCGAATGGCTTTCTCACATATCATTTTCACCTCTAATCGAGTCGTTTCTTAATCCATGCTATTTTCAATTAGATCACCCAAATTGCTTAATCTGGCTGGGGGCTTCCAACTGAACATCCTTAGAATCGGCGGAACTGCCGAAGATGACATTTCCTTTGACCCGAATAGCGTCACAGAAAACAACCAGGGGGATCTTTCAAGTATATATTTATTTATCTTTGAGATCAGGTTAAAATATTCGAAACTGGACAAAATATTTCAGTTGTTTGTTTATTTGTATGCACTCAACAGTATTCCAGTTATATGACGTCAGTCTCTAAATAATCGAGTGTGGACCTGGCAGTCCAGTGAGTAACATCATGAACATCGACCTTTGCAACTGCGATACGATGACATGCAATCAACCAAGTCAGTTAGCCTGAAACCTGATCCATGTGTCACCTCTTACAAGTAGTGGTTGTTGGGGACTTATATTATTCTTACCTGGGCCCATCAACCCGCAACCAAACTGGAAGAACACCTCTAACACATCAAGGAAGATTATTTCCTGTTAAGTATTGAATTCCGAGCTCAATAACAATTTGTTCAAAGTTATTGCTGGGTCCAGAAAATGTATTTTTATCCTGAATACAAGCAAGGAAGGCATTTCTTTATATTCATAGAAGGTATTGGAGATAAATGGATTTAATATCATGATGATTCTCAAAATTGCAAATGGTTCGCTTATTTCTTTTCTTCATTAATGTTTTGGGTTTTTTTTTATTTTTGTTCACCGCGGATCCACATGACAACCTTAATAAAAAACTTTATTCTTTGTTTCAAACGTGATGGCCATTCACATAGTTACATCTCTCTACAAAGTTCACCGAGAAAACGATATGTGATATTATCGAGTCTGGACCAGACAATCTAGTGACTGACATCACGAGGAAAGTGGCATTTAACGATCTACGCTTTTTAAATCCGATGACATGCATCAACCAAGTCAGCGAGCCAATTGCTCTCTTATGAACATATGTTTTTCCAGCTTCTGTTTGGGATGAAATCAACGCTTTCACATCCCTTGTTGGATGGGATCTGATATTTGGCCTGAATGTCCTTGAAAGACGAGATGGGCAGTGGGACCCTACCAACGCTGAGCTATTCCTAAATTACACATCCAAGAAAGGATATCAATTATATGGCCTAGAACTTGGCAACGGTAGGTGGGGCATAAGAGTGGGAAGGTTCACGAGTGAGGTTGGTTTAACGCCGTTTTAAACATTATTCCAGTTATATCACAGCGTGTTAGCTTAATATGGGAGGAAACCCCGAACTGATGCAGGTCTCAGACGTTTACCCGTTCAGTGAAACCCACGAGCACGGGTATGGTGCTGACAAACCCAGAAACATAATCAGGGCGAACTTGGATTCGAACCCACAATCATAGGTTTCTGGCGTGCCCAAGGGACGCAGCTCTGCACAGCGAATCGTGGCGCCTCAGACGACTGGGCCACCCATGCCCCCAGGTAAGGTTCAGGACGAAGAGAAGCACAAACGATACTGTAGATGTTACCGGAGAATGTCATGTAAACAGCATACATGTGTGGACCCTCTGCATGCCAAAAAAATGGTTAGGGGTTTGATTGTGATTAACGTGGTTTGATACCCGTTCATGGTGTCACCTTCCATGATATGACAGGAATAGTGCTGACGGACGTATGAAACCATCCCCACTCACTAGTTCATTCAGGACTATGAAATAGGATCTCAAAATCCTGCTCTCTAAATATGTTTCATATTTCTTTTTATTCCTGGCAGTCTATTTAAAATTTAACAGTGATATTCATGTTTCGTGGCTTTTCTGCGAGTTTGATGTGGGTAATGTGTAAGTTTTTATTCAAATGAGTTTGATATTGGATCTGTGGTATCTTATATTGGTCACTTTCCTAGAGCCTCGGATGTTCCCCAAAAAGTTTAACCAGTCAGTGACGGCCCAGCAACTTGGAAAGGATTTTGGAACACTAGACAAGGTGCTCAGAGATCGGCCACACTTCAACAACACTCGAATTCTAGGACCAGATGTTGCGGACATTTTATCAAACGATACCATCTCATATGTGGAAGAGTGAGTTTGTTTTCAAAGATTCAGTGTAAAATATCTTTATGTGGATGGACCTTAATTTAACATGGTGCATTTAAACAGCAAGCATACACTACTGCCCCATGCAACGATAACGTCTATTCGAAGGAGAGCGGGGGTGGCTGTTTCGGTCCACTGGTCGCAGCACGCCAAATTGACGGGAAGAAGATATTACTTGTTGTTACCCTGCCTGGTGATAGGCATTAAGGGGATCGAAAAAGAACTGGCCTGCTGGAAAAGTAATATTTCACCCGACCACATCTTATTCGAAATATGCAACACCACATGACCGTTTTGTGTATTGAAAATTTGTCTATCCTGTTTGGTGAAAAAGATTATAATCATTTTTGAAGGAATAGGAAAACTAAAATCTAACTATGTTGAGTGTATATTTTTTAGTATTTCTATAATTAACAATCATAATCCATATCTATTTATAATAGCAGTATTGGTTCCTTGAAGGAATATGGATCTTACAAATAACAATGACAATTGTATCTGTCGTCAACTTTCTCATTGAAAAATGGTGTGAGTTAGTGAGTGTTGTTTTACGCCAATTTTAGCAATATTCAAGCAATATCACGGCGGGGAACACCAGAAATGGGCTTCACACATTGTACCCGTGTCGGGAATCTAACCCGGGTCTTCGGCGTGACGAGCGAACGCTTTAACCACTAGGCTACCCGACTGCCCCTTGAAATATGGAAATGAACGCTCCTTATACATATGCTTCTTGGTATTTCTGTAAATATCTCACATCCGTTGTTTTTTTAATTTCGCATTTAAGGTTTTTAGCTGCAGGCGGAGCCAGTGCGCTGGATGGGGTAACGTTCCACCAGTGAGTATGAATACCATTAAAGTTGATGTTGTAATCAGCTCATCAAATGATCGTTTGATGTATCTAAATCCCCTTTGCAGTCAACTGCTTACCAGATTCGTGTTGGGATTGGGAAAAGAAAACGTAATATGTCATGCAAAATATGAAATACATTACGATATTGAAGGACAAAACACTCAGGTTATTCGCCACTAATGAATGCATACATACACAAGTCTATAGCACATGTTTCTTGTACATGTACAATTGACTCCTTAAAAGGAAACATACTCGTGTATGTGACACATGTTCCTTGTATTTGTCTGTATAAACGACTCCTTCAAAGGAAACCTACTCGTGTACGTGACACATGTTCCTTGTATATGTCTGTATAAACGACTCCTTAAAAGGAAACCTACTCGTGGAAGTGGCACATGTTCCTTGTATTTGTCTGTATAAACGACTCTTTAAAAGGAAACATACTCGTGTACGTGACACATGTTCCTTGTATTTGTCTGTATAAACGACTCCTTCAAAGGAAACATACTCGTGGAAGTGACACATGTTCCTTGTATTTGTCTGTATAAACGACTCCTTAAAAGGAAACATACTCGTGGAAGTGGCACATGTTCCTTGTATTTGTCTGTATAAACGACTCTTTAAAAGGAAACGTACTCGGGGAAGTGACACATCTCACTTGAATGTGTCTGTATAAACGACTCCTTCGTATGAAAATACCTACTTTATGCGAATATATTTTTAAACAATGAGGTGTATTGTACTGAAAGAAAACAAGGGTGTCGTCTGTTATTAAATGTCACGGTCATTGTGTAAAAACTTACTAAATCATGGGGGCACGGGTGGTCCAGTCGTCTAAGGCGCCGCGATTCGCTGTGCAGAGTTGCGTCCCTTGGGCACGCCAGAAACCTATGATCCCGGTTCGCCCCCATTATGTTTCTAGGTTTGTCTGCACCATACCCGTGCTCGTGAGTTTCACCGAAGTTGTAAAAGTCTGAGACCTGCATCACTTGGGGCTTTCCTCCCACATTAAGCTGACACGCCGTGAAACAACTGGAATACTGTTAAAAGCGGCGTTTAGCCCAACTCACTCACTCACCCACTACTAAATCATGATTTTAGTTTAAAGTCAATGAATGTAATATATACTCCCCCTTACGGTAGTACAAACGAGTGATTTATTCACAGTAAGTAAAGTAAACACCTTCTTCCTTCTGCTTGTTTGAGTTTCATACTTTCAGTGATACAAGCACACTGACATTTTATTATCTCAAGGTATTTTGGAAATGGGGACAATGCAACCAAAGAGATGTTTACAGACCCAACCTTCATGGATACACTGAATGCTTCATTTGCGTCTGCACACAAGGCTACAGGAGCGTTGGCGTCCAACAAACCTCTTCTCCTGGGCGAAACAGGTTCCTTTTATCATGGCGGAACATGACGGACACCTTTCTGGGGGGATTTTTGTGGGTATTTCAGACAATAGTCACGAACAGCTTCACAGTTGGGTGACCCGTGAAGATCCGGGGTAGAATAGGTCTTCAGCAACCCATGCTTGCCGTAAAAGGCGACTAACGGGATCGGGTGGTCAGACTCGCTGACTTGGTTGATCACTGGATTGTCTGGCCCAGACTCGATTATTTACAGACCGCCGTCATATAGCTGGAACATTGCTGAGTGAGGCGTTAAACAACAACCCAACCAACCAACCAACAAACCAAGCAACCAACCAACCAATCAACCAACAACAGTTTGGTACTGTTTGACCCTGTCCATCATTATCCAAATGTATAGAAGGATATGCATTTTCATTTGCTGTGATATCTAGCCATGCTTCACGTACAGAATATCTGTACCTTCTTGCTGAAGACGATTCCACTCCATGAGTCTCAAGCGCATATCATAAAGGTGATTGAGATCTATGTGTTAATGTTCACCTATAGAGGGATGGACAAGCTCGGCATGGCCGCCCAATGAGGCATTCAGAATGTGTTCAGGCAGGACTTGTATGGACTTGGGTCAGCCAATCGCCTGTTGGAGTCATTCACATACGACCCCCTACCGCTGTGTATACATTACATGTGCTTCAATTACGACGGGCTTTTTTTCTAGAGATAGGATCTTTGGGTTATTTACACACACACACTCACACACACACACACACACACACACACACACACACACACACACACACACACACACACACACACACACACACACACACACACACACACACACCTTCAGATATGAAATAGTTAGTCCCTAGATGTTTCATAGATAATGCAATATACCTGTTCTCAAATATAGGCACCGACGGTGTAGTTGTCTAAAAGCAGTGCAGTTCGCTGTGCCAGAGTTGTGCGAGCATCCCAGATACCCGTGCTCATGCTAGTCGGGATTGGTGGGATAGCCTAATGGTTAAAGCGTTCTCTCGTCACGCCGAAGGCTCTGGTTCGACTCCCTACGTGGGGACGTTTGTGTCCATCCCATTTCGGTGTCCAACGCGTAAAATTTCTGGAATGTTGCTTAAAGCTGCGTAAAAATCTTACTCACGTACTCACTCGTGTGTTTCACTAAGACATGCATTCACCTGACATAAAATACAGTTCAAAGCTGTGTAAATCACAACACACTCACTTGACAGCATCTTATCGCATCTCAGTTTCGTGGTTCGATGCTCTTGATGCTGATCTCTGGATTGTCAGGTGCAAACTCGATTTATCAACAAGCAAAAAATGATCATTGTATAACACCTAATTTCCTTTTTGGTAGGACTACTGGTTAACCTTTCTCTTCAAGAAGCTTGTGGGCAACGCCGTGTTCAAGCCTCGAGTCGTGGGCCCGCCCACCGTAAGAGCGTACTGCCACTGCATGAGGTCCATAAAGTAATTATGATGAATCTTTTTGTTATCACAAGTGTTCTGCACAGGAATAACGAACATCATTTGGGAAGGTTCTTGTTTGAAATCCAAAACATTGCTAGTATTTAAATTAATGAATATCATCTGGTTACATTACCAATGATTGTACTATTGGATGTTAGAAGCAGTGACAGGGCACACTCCACGTGTTCATCTCAGGTTTGTTTGAGTGTCAACGATTGAAAATCAGTAGAACAATAGTCTCGTGGGAGAAAGACAAGCAATAATAGAACAATAAGAAAATGGTGTTTTACCTTTCAGTTCATATTACTATCCACGTGGGAGAAAGACAAGCAATAATAGAACAATAATAAAATGGTGTTTTACCTTTCAGTCCATATTACTATCCACGTGGGAGAAAGACAAGCAATAAATGAACAATAATAAAATGGTGTTTTACCTTTCAGTCCATATTACTATCCACGTGGGAGAAAGACAAGCAATAATAGAACAATAATAAAATGGTGTTTTACCTTTCAGTCCATATTACTATCCACGTGGGAGAAAGACAAGCAATAATAGAACAATAATAAAATGGTGTTTTACCTTTCAGTCCATATTACTATCCACGTGGGAGAAAGACAAGCAATAATAGAACAATAATAAAATGTTGTGTTACATTTCAGTCCATATTACTATCCACGTGGGAGTCTGACTGTGTTTGCAATGAACCTGGACATTGTTGCAGTGAACTTGACTTTCCCAGAATACAAAGGCGGATATATGGACTACTTCCTGTTGTCACCGGAAGGAGGTTGTGTTCAGTCGAGGTATGACATCCTAACAAATAATTTGTTTTATCTGTTGGCATCCGTGTTCGTTTAATGCACAAGAGCAGCTAATTTTCTGAGGGGATGAAGATAAAGACAAACACATAGTAAAAAACAGCTTTGTTCCTAGTTTCGGCAGTTTTCGCTTATTTTAACTATTGGTTTGTTCTTTGGTCATGCTAGACGTACACACATACAACTGGAAGGGGAAAAGGCTCCGATAAATTCATACTAATATTTTAGTATTTTCGTACATCTAGGGTTCGCCATTCCCAGTGGGTGAAAAAGATCCTTAACGTACCTCCCTATTTATCACTGGATTGTCTTGTCCAGACTCGATTATTTACAGACCGCCGTCATATAGCTGGAATATTGCTGAGTGAGGCGTTAAACAACAAACCAACCAGCACACCTAAACATAGCCCATTAAGTAATTTCTTAGAAATATACAGACCTTGTGTTACACGTGGAATGGCATTACTAAAGAGAACCCACATCATGTAATGACACAAAATCTCTCTATCCCCGAGAACATGTACTGAAAGGCTACTGAGACATATCTTTTGTCTCTTGCAGAACTGTGATCCTCAACGGCCACCAGCCTATCCATCTGGTTGAAAACGAGATACCCTTTCTGGTTCCTGGTGGTGTCAGCGCAAACACCATCACCCTCCCCTCGCTCACATACGGATTCTTTGTACTTTACGCTGACGCCCGTGTTTGTAAACCTGGCAACTAGACAATCAATGTGAAGGGTTGCTTAACGTCACAATACATTGTCTTGTTTCCATCCGATATTTATATGTCATTGACGAATGACTTCCGGCAGATTGTTCATTGTGTTGAAATGTTCCGACCAAGGATGTTGCTTATTCCTTTGCAAATTGTTAAGAGGTGGTCTACGGAGATCAAGGGAGAAGGAGAGAGCCTCAAGGATGGTCGAAAAGCAGGATGACTTTCCACTACCATCACTATGGAAAGTGTTCATAAAATATATATGATATTATTGTGGATGATCGACTTCTCACAACACGTCATATACCAAATATAGTAGAGACATATGCAGTAAACTACGTTTATAGCGAACACGCTTATAACGAACTGACCGATATTACGAACTTATTTTGTGGTCCAGGCCAACTACTGTTTATATGTTGTATATATGCTTATAAAACGAACTGCGATTATAACGAGCTGAAATAAGTGGTCCCTTTTTGTTCGCAATAACAGTAGTTTACCATAGATAAATATCACGGGAGACGTGAGAACTCTCTGAAGAATGAACTGATCATGACAAAGGTTTATCTGCACGAGGCTTCCTGATACAAAACTCTCCAGCGATTTGCAGCCATGGATAAGTCTTGAACCCACTTTCAGCAGCTTATCTGTTCAGGCAACTGCGTAAGAATATCAAGGTTTAACGTCGTTAGAGCATCGTCCATATTCTCCAGAGTTGGCAGCATCAGACTTCCGCCTCTCCCCAAACCTGAAAAATATTGTATGGTAAGCATAATGCTAGCCTGTACGGATATCATGACGTCCTACATTGATGTCACACGCTTGTCACATTACAATTGACACTCTTTATAATTCCAGTAACCAGACATATAGTATAATTGTGGTTGCAAGACTGATTTTATTGTGAGACACACATATTTCACCAGGTGTCAGATAGTCTCAGTTTATCAACTCTAACGAAAATGATAAGACACTGGGGACATGTTTTGACCCAAATCCGGACAGATGTTATCTTGTGTAATATTTCTTACAAACACGAGTGCCAATGTCGTGTCAAATGACAGGAGTTATATTTACCTCAAGGACAGTCGTTTTACTAAACGTTTTACAAAACGATTAATGAAAGACTGATTCTAACATACATGCATGAATTTATCTGAGAACACATTGTCAGTTTAGTGCATGAGCTCCAAACACACATGAGTGACAAATAGATTGATATCACGGGAGACTTGAGAACTCTCTGAAGAATGAACTGATAATGACAAAGGCCTATCTGCACGAGGCTTCCTGATCCGAAACTCTCCAGCGATTTGCAGCCATGGATAAGTCTTGAACCAACTATCAGAGAGTAAACAACAGTCAAAGCTGTTGAATTACCTAACGTCTTCTCCTCCGAAGTCTGTTCCATCCTCTGGCAAGGTGATAGCTTCGGTTTACTGGGATTGCAATGGAATTCTTCTAGTGGACTAGCCTCCAGAATGTCAGACCATTAGCAGTTAATCTGCTCAGGCAACTGCATAAGAATATCAAGGCTTAACGTCGTTGAAGTTAATAGAGCATCGTCCGTATTCTCCAGAGTTGGCAGCATCAGACTTCCGCCTCTTCCCAAAAATGTATAGTAAGCATTATGCACAGGATGATGACGTCATTTGTGCGATGGAGTATTCACACCGCCTGCAGGAAACCCTCCACCAGTGGGTCCCTGGCACTCACGCTTGTGTGTCCCTCAAAGGGGATGATGTTGAAAAATCATTTGCAACGTACGAGTACTTCGTCAAAGCAGCCTATCATACAATGACGATAGACTATGGACTAAGGACTCAGCCGCCTATCGTAGTATGATCACGATCGCCGTCTTACATACAGAAGTGTCGATGGTATGTGTTACCATAAGTGGAAATCACAACTTCCAGTTGACAAAAGACAGACCTACATGTTTCTCTGCTACGCTGGAATGGTGCATTGACATAAAACAATCAAATCCTCAGTCGCCTTGCAGAAGAAGCAAGGGTTTCTAGAGACCAATTCGAACCCGGAATCACAACGAGATACATTCAGTGTGGATTGCAAACAATATAACATAAGATATGTACCATGCCGAACATACCAGGGAATTGCATGCAAGACATCACACGTATATTATATCAGACCTCCTTAAAATATCTACGTGAATTGCATACAATACAATAACACACCTATCATATTGATGTAACCCTTGCCACCACACCTGAAGAAGAAACAATATATCTTTTGTTAATATCAGAGATATTCAATACCTTTTATAAACGACCATGACAATCATTTCACATGTGTGTGTCCCTTTATTTGGTCGAAGGTGGAAATAAAGTATAAAAGGCATAAATATTTTGAAAACCTGTTGAATTGTGATTCCAGCAATGATTACTTTCATGAGTGAGTGAGTGGGTATGGTTTTACGCCGCTTTTAGCTATATTCGAGCAATATCACACCAGAAATGGGCTTCATGCATTGTACCCATGTCGGGAATCGAACCCGGGTTTTCGACAGGGATTTGGTTGTACATTTGCTGGAATCAGCAATACATATATCTTTGTTCAGATTTTCCCCTCTTGTTTGGATGATTAATGTGTATTTTAACGTCGCGATATTTATATATTCCTGACATATAAATTGGTACATGTAACACCTCAGCCTCGGAAGGATATACTTATGAGAATATCACTTTCTTTCTTTCTCATTCCCTTTTGTATAGAACTGCGGGCTGACAAAAATGTCACACCATGGATCGCCTTTGGGGTGACCACCGCTATCCTGCTTTCTGTCATCATAATCCTTGTCATATATTTGTGAGTATTATACCCTGCTTAGATAATATTATTCTCAATATATAATTATAAAATTAAATTCCATGTATCGAGTGAAACATGATATTGCACGAGACACATGGCCTTTCCTATTTATAACATATCTCTTGTGTAATTGTCAACCGAAAAATTACATTTTTTAATTACAAATATAAAACGTGAAAATCTCAATCCCCCTTGTAATTGCAAAATATTAAAAATATAAACAATCTCGATTTACGAGTTAAATGAGATATTTACAGTTTATATAGAAACATTTTCATGAAAAAAACGAACGGTAAGAGCAGACTCCATAACTTACTTATTGTCATTATTTTGCCTTGTCGAAATAAAACTAGCGTAAACAGAATGTAAAATAGCTTGTTTTCTGGCATAAGACACAAACGATCTGGGGGAGATCACACTTGTAGGCAAATATGTAATGTTAACTGCAGTCGAATATCATGTGTTATGACCTTTTCCCAACTTCATAAAACCCACTTTATCAAGCTGAAGCATACATGTATGATAAACCTTCTATTCTAAATTGCTTCTTACGATGTGAAATATCGTATGGTTTATGTAATAAATAAATAACTAGAACACTAGAACGCATTTCAGAATCTCGTTTGAGCAAATATGATTCTTTCATGTCGGCCATGTCCCTTTTGTCCTTCACTTCTGTTGTATCTGAACTTTCAGCCAGCAAAGACATTGAGATCACGAGGAGAAAGCCATGCACTGAATTTGACGGTTCGAGGTAAAGACGGCACAGGGCATAGAGAAGACACTCCCTACGATGAAGTAGCATGTGGATATACAAGTGATAACCCGAATGCATTGGCGAATAATTATTATGAGAATGTAGATATCAGAAAACAAGAGACGTATGAATCGTTGACTACTCAAATAAATAATCACGACAAGCATTTGTACGACACTGTGCAGGCACACTTGTGAAGAGAAATACAAACATACAAACACGTGCTTCAATAACAATGCATATATACTGCGTATTTGATTAAAGGCACTAATTACTGGAACTGGAACCATATTCTCTACGTCATTTAACATGTTTGACTAACATGTTTGTCTGTACACCAGTCCACCCCTTTTTAATCACATGTAGTGTGTTGCTTTCAAAGGTAATGAAATGTATAGCAGATGTAACTGCGATTATTCATTTAAGTTGATACGTGTTGCTAATATTGTAGAGATATGACATTCTGTAATTGTTTTAAGCAAACTATTTCTTTGGGGCTTAACAGAATATACAATTATAATGTAAAGAAGAGGTGAAACATTTCACACATGTTTAACTCGTTAATTCTTGTCGTCATTAATGGAGTAACTAATTTGCATTTCAGCAAAGCATAAAGACTGGTGACGCTGTAGATGTCTGAAGTCTTTGCCACTGATTTCTTTGATTCGAATGTTAACATATATTATTACCAGTCAATGGAAAGGTTTTCACCAAAATATTAAACCAGAGACTCCAAAATTGGTCTCATGAAAATAGTGTGATTTACATAAATCAAGCTTGATTCAGGAAAGGTTATTCGACATGTTTCTCTTGATGGGATGATACCTCTTTAAATCAACAGGTGGGAGAATTATGTTTTCTCCATAGACTTCTCAAAAGCCTTTGACTGCGTAAATCACACTTTACATTGCCATCGACTTATTAGCTGTTGAATACATGAAAATATTATAACTGATGTAAGAAATATGTATTCAAAACTACAGACTTGTGTACGGACAGATCAAGGTTTCACAGACTTTTGTCAGTGCTGGGTTGGTACTCGCCAAGGATGTATGGTAAGCCCACTGTTATTTCGCAGGCAAACTGTGTTAGCAACTTCTGTGAAAAAATGGGTATGAACCTAGATATACAAAATCTAAGATTTTTGTATTCCGAAATGGCGGATATCTGTGTATGTATGAAAAATGGTATTACAGGGCCTCTCAGATCGAAACCGTCCCCTTATTGATCTTGGTCTTTATTTTACACATAACCTAGTTTAGACGAGATCGAAACAGATGTTGGCAAAGCAGGTGGAGTAAGTATATATATGCACTCAATGTGTTGTGACTTACCAATTACGACTGCACTCAAGATTTGCGATAGCATGGTTCTGCCCATCCTTACATACGGCTCCGAACTTTTGGGATACAAAGTTGTGGATCAAATTGAGAAAGTTCAGACTTAGTATGTGAGTGCTTGTAATGATGCTGTTCTTGGAGAAAGTAGTCGACCTTTATTATTTCTCACCTATGTGACATAGTGTGTAAAATATCGGGCTTACCTAGTCATTATGAATAATGGCCGATTACCGAAGCAAACGTATCTGATGCTGTATTGATACAATATAACATATCTTATTCCAGTTTGGCTTTGGCTACGCCTGGATGATGCCATATGTTGGAAATGTATATCTTTTTATATATCAGTTTAAACAACGTGTATCCGATTATAACATGCCAATGCAAACCTTGGCATTCATCAATATCAATAACATATAAATCCATTGGAAAATGAATACCGCTTTGCACTGGTATGTCCCGCTT